TAGGATGAGAAAAGTTGGTGCATAGCCTCCAAGATACATTGCTAATAGGTTGGTTTTGGCATTTAGAGGCGACAGGCCGAAGTCCCAGGCACACAAGCCTTGGTAAGCAACGACGGCTAGCGCAAGGGGTATCATTAGTGTAAAGCGGAATGGCATATATCCCAAAAAGCCAATAATACGGTTGAAAAAACCGCGGTTTCGGGGCTCATAATGTCGAATAGAGTGCCATAAAGAGACCATAATCGTCAACCAAGCAACAAATAAGCAGAATGTTCCTGCCTTGAAGCGCCCATCGGTGGCAGCTGGTATTGCATTCTCTATAGCCTGTTCAGGGGATCGCTGGAGTTCGATTGCACCCCAGTTCCGCGGAACAATGAGGAAGAAATTCTTGTCGGCTAATTAACACATAGTTCTTTGGATATAGACCATTACCGAAGACTTACCAGCCATAACCATAGATAAAAGAAGATGGGCAGCCACAATTCAAACATGCCTCTTTTATCGTTTGGTTGAAGGACGAAGGGGTTTGGATCAATGAATTGACGTTCCATCCAACTACCCCAATGTCGAATACCCTCCCAGACTACTGCCATGATACCGATCTGCATAAGGTACCAGAAGAAGACATTTAGAACAATGGGAAGCTCCACAACATGGTAACGGTCGACATCGATCCCGGTGAAAAGACCAACGAGAGCGGCTGCGCAAACAAATATCGACCAGTACCATTGCCACCTCCTCCCAATCGGGTAGAATCTCTTCTCGGCGGGTAGATGCAATTCGCCATGCTTTTTCAGATTGACCAGTATAAAAATCAGACATAAGGCGAAAGCCACAGCAAACCCGATACCAGCGCGCGCTCGGTCTCCAATAGGATCTGTCGCCAAGTAACACCAAGTACTATTGATAAAAGTGCCATTGGTTAGGATACCTTTCGGGGTGTAAGGCGGATTCATAAGCATGCACCAGGATCCGTTCGAGAGCGTGCCATTGATCGGGTAGTAGGTATAATTCCAGTAATTTAGCGTGGAGGCATTGAAGTGGATGTTGTGGAAGACGGTGTCGGTCGTGTTGTCGCCCTTTGGGAAGCCATCGCGGGTGCTGAGGAGAAACATGGTAACGTCCGGAATAGGCCGCGCGGGAGGGGGAGGGATCGTCGTCTTTTGTTATTATTCTTCGGTTAAGGCGGGACAGATAGGAGCTTCGTACGGAGTCGTAACGAAGTTAAGAAATTGAGACCATCACGGAATAACGAGACGCGCGACGACAAGGGAAAAAAGAAAGAAAGAAAAAAGGAAAAGGAAGAAGCAAAGCGCGAGGCTTATGGAAGTGGAGGGTTCCGGTAGCTAGGTAGTCAAATCCGGAGCTTCGGATCAGATCGCAATGAGCGTTATAAAAAAAAAAGTCGCTCAGCGACCAGGTGATCCCCATAATTTTGTCGATCGGCATGCAGCCCGATAACTCAAATGGGTAGAATGAGCTACGATAAGAGGCCGTTAGGGCGTTGTAGACGTCATCCCGAGATGCCGAGTGAAAAGCTGTGTACATACAAAGCGGTATGTACGGGACCTACCTAGCTTATCGATAGGTATTATATAAGTCAAATTATATAATAGCCTGGAGGTCTCTTGGCTTCAACTTATCCATGCACTCACTCATGTTAGTGACATTAGTTGAATCGTCCGTTCTAATCAGTTACAATTAATCTGACATGTATTATTAAATTCTCCCGCAGACGATCCAACCCTAGTATTATTTAAACAGCATTCCCAAAAGCGGTTTTAAGCAGGTATATACAAGCAACGGATAAAGTGAACCATGGCTATGGACAACATTCTAGATCTAAGGATACCACCCCCAAAACTCTTGGCTTTTGCTGTTGGTTCATCGGCACCTCACCGTAAATTACCTAGACATGCATGTGGGACTATCCCATTTGACCCTTATTGAGGCTGTGGACACGATTCTATCTTGTCTCTATTATTCCAGAGTTTTCATCGATTGTCTCACGGGTTTACTGTACCTCTTCTACTCGACTTGTTAGAATACTATGCGATAAACAATGCGGTCGGGCGACGTATTTCTATCGACATGCCTGGCTATTAGATATGTCCTCGGTCAGAATTGTCCCGGTTATTCGAGTTATTCTCAGTCGCGAAACCCTCCTCTCTCGTCCGGTGCCTACAAGCTTGCGTATCAGCGACCCGTCCCTGAATGTCGCACTTTTAGCTCGAGCCTGATCGAGGATGCTATTAACAAGACCAAGAGTGTCATTTTCGATGCGGATCTATCACGTCTTTTCGAAAATACCTTCCCGAACACGCTCGACACCGCTGTCAAATGGCGAGGAGTTGCTGCTAACAACTCGGAGGAAGAGTTGGCTTTCATAATTACCGGCGACATCGATGCGATGTGGATTCGCGACTCGGCGAACCAGATAGCACCGTACAAAACCGTTCTGAAGAAAAAGACGGATGACATCGCCTCTGTATTTCGCGGTACTATTAATTTGCAGGCTAGATATCTCATCATATCACCTTATTGCAATGCTTTCCAGCCTCCACCCGAGTCCGATATCTCCCCGGCGCAAAATGGGGGTATCTATTCTGTCACGCCGTCGTACGATCGCAATATTGTTTTCACTTGCAACTTTGAGCTTGATGATTTTGGAGGATTTCTGCAGCTCTCGCATGATTATTATAATGCGACGGGTGACTTGGATTTCTTCGGCAAGTTCCAATGGATTCAAGCAGTGCAATCTATTCTTGCTACATCGGAAGAAATGAAGCAGCCTACATATGGACCTGATGGGAAATGGATTCCCCCTGTATACACATTCCAGTCGCAGACCATGACCGGTTCTGGTACTCTAGGAAACAATGGTATCGGAAGCCCCGTCAATGAGACAGGCTTAGTACGCTCGCCATTCCGCCCGAGTGACGACTCCGCTATATTCGATTTCCAAATCCCGGCAAATATGATGTTGTCGAGATATTTGGAATCTACATCTGATATCATGGAACGACTACCAAATGCGCCAAAAGGGTTGGCGCAAAAGATGCGGGACATGGCTACCGAAATTAGGGAGGCCATCAATCAATGGGGTATTGTGACAGCGCCTAACGGCAAGAAGATCTTTGCATACGAGGTTGACGGTTTTGGAGGTCAGAATTTGATGGATGATGCCAATGTCCCATCGCTTCTCTCGGCTCCATTTCTAGGATACTTGGACAAGAACGACACTATTTATCAAAACACGCGAGCTTTCGTTCTCAGCAGAAGTAATCCGTGGTGGTGTGAAGGACCTCATCTTAAAGCTATCGGCAGCCCACATATCAGACCGGGGGCTGCATGGCCCATGTCGTCCATTAGTAAGTAATATTAAGCTCTACGTCTTGGTTAAACCTTCTTAAAATGACTTGCTGACTGTCCTCTCCAGTACGAGCAATGACTTCGGATGATGATGCGGAAATCATATCAGCAGTTAAGGAAGTGTTGAGCACTACCGATGGATATGGTTTGATCCACGAGAGCGTCGATAGCTTTGATACGAGCAATTGGACGCGTCAGTGGTAAGCACTAGATTTGAACCGAGGGTCTCTTAGTAAATCAACTGACTTTTGATATAGGTTTACTTGGGCAAATGGACTTTTTGGCCAATTAATTATGGATCTAGCAGAGAGGAAACCACATATATTGAAAGAGAACTTCCAGCCCTTGTTCATAAATAAGAAATAGCACCTCATACGTAATCTGGTCTTATCTTACAATATTATTATCCATCCAAATCCTACAAGACTGGATAACGCCAATATTGAGGTCGTGGTTTACCTGGTTCTTTTGCGGGTGATATTTACCTTAACATAGATACCTACCTACAAAAGGTAACTAACAATTCATAAGGTATTGATTAGATATCGCCATCTCTTTTCTCTAAATCCATCTGATATATAAACCGCCACCGCCACTAATTCAATCATGAACCTCCCAAAGTATGAACCTAATGGATGATCGGACGTCCGTGATACCTGGGGAATAAATATTTTAAGATTCTGTCTGGTGTAGCTAAACCGCAATGAGGAAATTGTCGCTCAATGACAGGTCAGGTACAGAACCTAACTCTAAACAGGCCTCGAAGGTCTAGCGGCTCTATCGTATCAACACCTTCTTTCCACTTCTTCTAGCAAATCCTATAGGCCGCGATCGATATAGGTTTTCTTTATTTGATAAAATATTTGCCACTATAAGATTTTGCGCATTAATTAATTATAATTGGGAATTGGTGTTGATAAGTATATTTGTGTATTATTAATGCGTGTGTGTACCTACCTATGTAGGTACACTCAGGGTGCTGGGCTGTTTACAATTTCGGTCTCCCGCCCCTATTCCCAAACCCAACCAATTGTCCATACTAATTGTCCAATCCCATTGTCCAAGCCAATTAACCCAACCAATCAACCAAATTTCATGTGATTGACTGTTCCCAAGTATTATCTGTCCTCCTCTAGAAAATAGTCGACAGGGTGTATATCTGATAGCAGAGAAAGAGTTGTATCCAATGCATAAAAGACGTTGTCAAAAAGTCGTGTAAGTCGCATAATCCTGAATAATTGTCGAGGTGTCATTTCGCTGTGTCCGTCCTCCAAACCTCGCCCACACATAAAAAACAAATATACAAACTGGCCTAATCCTCCCCAAGTAGCCTTTGTTCCGGCTTTCCATTATAGGCTGAAGCCTATGTAGACCTTTTCCGAGGCACACAACGTCTGTGAGCGATGAATCCCTTGCGCAGTTGATCTTTGGTTAGTAGATCAATATAGCTGAGCCTGATTGCAAAATCCCATAGGTTTTCCATCAGACGTTTGTTTTTAAGTTGCACCCGAAATTCTTCTATGATGACGGAGCCATATTAGTACAAGTGCAAATAAGCGGGAAATAATGAAATGGTGAGAAATTCAAGAGGTAGGAGAATATATTGTAAGAGGAAACATTTAGATCAATTACTTACCGTATGTTTGGTTCATCGAAATGTATATAAACTCGCTGTCGATATAGCGTAGGCTCACTAATTTCTTCACGAGTTCGACCAGCTTATATGACTCCACAGCATGGCGGCCCGCGTGAATGGCAATGAACCAATTGAGCGCGTCAAAGTAGTTGAGCCAGTTTTCTCGGAACACTATATATAGATCTATTAGTTCAAACCTTCTATCAGACAACACAAGATCTGTATGATAAATAACGTGTTTTCTTTAATCCTCAGAGGAGGAGGGGGGGTTGTAAAATTACTTACCGACTCGATCGAATTCAGGAGTGGCCCCTACAAAGCTTAATAACTCTGACCTCAAATAAGGTGGCATATCCTTCGTTGTCAGGTCTTGTACTTTGATATCGCGCATGTAGACGCTGAGTATGAAGTAGAAGGAAGGATAGTGCCTGGCGAATATCGGCATGTTTAGCAAGTTTTCTTGCGATATTTCAACACCCTCCGGCAGCTCATTGATCCAAGGCGGTATTTTTCCTAGCACCTTTCCTATCATATGGAGTGGGAGGGAACAGTACTTTTTAGGGGGAGGTGTATCGAATTCAAACCCTGTCTTAATATTGAATTGCATCCATGGTTGATCTAGATTAGTTGGAGACAATGATCCAGAGTTTACCGATGAATCTGTCTGCGACTGTAGCTGTTGCTGTGGAGGTGTGTGTGAGTAGCTTTGTTGTGACTGCTGAGGAGATGATTGCTGAAAAGTATTGTCCGGTGTCTGAGATTGATGTTGAAGTAGTGTTTGAGGGAGTCCCAGTGGTTGCATCTGGGAATTCTGAGGCGAAGGCCGAGCATTGATCGGAATATTTAATTCCCCAGAACCCAGGATTGACCGGCAATAAGTCACCTGGGATTGAGGCTGAGAGAATCCTTGTATTTGCGCCTGGAACTGCTGAAAAGGCTGAGTATGGAACTGAATAGAGAATTGCCCAGAATCCGTGGCTGGCCCAACAGTCATCTGAAATTGACGTTGAGATTGTGCCTGATGGAATCCTTGTGATTGCCTCTGGGGACTACGATGTGAAGACTGAGTTTGGGGCTGAGTGTATAATCCCCCGGAACCTATGGTTGGTCCGAAGGAGTTCATCTGACATTGAGGTTGAGGTTGTTCTTGTGATTGCGTCTGGGTGTTCTGGGTGTTCTGGGGTAAAGGTTTAGTATGAGGCTGGATATGGAGTAGCATAGGATCTACGGTTGGCTCCCAAGAATCCATCAAAGATCGATCTTGGGGTAATATCTCAGAGAGACCTTGTACTGGAGATTGAATCTGTGATTGCCCGGAGCATGGTCCCTCGGAGTGCTTCAGTCCCTGTGGCATAAAGCGGGCATTGACATTTGATACTTCCCCCAGAGGCGTCATGTCAGGCATCGTGCTAGGCAGTGCCTGATTTGGCTTCGGTACCGACATATCCATGTTGTTTACGGGCACTGGGAAGTGTAGCCCGTGTACTATTTGAACTTGTGGATATTGTAGTTGTTGTCGACGTGAATTTCGTCCTACTGGTAAAGACATTGTGGTAGTGATGAATGTATCCTTATAGATTAGCAGAAATAGTGTTGTTGTGTGAAAGTGAAGATGTAAATTATTTGCAATGGGAAATTTTAAGAGAGGAGAGGCAACATGTCTTTATATACTAATATTACAACTGCCTAGCAACCAAGCTTGAAGTCCAAGCACTAACGTAAAATTGTTGACTGGTATTGTGAATAGTCGACTCCAAGCCCGAGCGGAACTGTGAGAGGCGCTTATTGTTGAATGCTAGTAACTGTTTACGTTGCCCCCCCAAAGCGGCCTCGTCAGCCCTTTCGCTATGTTAAGTATCAAAGTAAATAAAGCGGCGAGGATAGTTCACAATAATCTAAAATACAGTATCATGCATTATAACATGGACCTTTTAGGTTGTTAATTTTCATTCCTGATTCATCTTCGTATAGGAAATAGTTATAGACTTCCTCTAGATAATAGATGCTGCTGCTATGTAAGCGAGTACAAGATAATATTATCATCATATCTCTATTTCCATCCGGTGAACATGTGATCAATAGAAAGGACACGGCTTGAAGGAACATTTACGTAGAAACACGATTAGTCATTTTGGGGTGCATGGGATCTAAGTGTATAACAATGTTGATTAGGGAACTTGAAGCCATCTCCGCTACCTATGGTTTAGAAATTTCTTGATATAGTAGCTCAGCTGATTATATTGGGGCTAGCTCTGTGACAGTAACGGTATGACCACTTCGCTATGGGACTTAAGCGCCCGGTAATTCGGCCAATCCTGCCAAGTCCCGCTTTGGCATGTTGACAGCATGTTGACAGGTAGCTAATTCTGATTATACTCTATCTTATCCGCATTAAAGCCTATTTATTCAACGCCACTAACAACAACTATTCACGTGCAATTGTCCAAGATGTATTCTCGCGACGACACTGTTAACGCCATCCTACGATTCTATCAGCAAGTTATCCGCCACCCGTATTTAAACGATAGTACACTAGTTCTACCCCCTCCAGGCGGTTGGCGTTCTGTTAACATCCAAGGAAAAAATAACACTGTCCTTGATCTACTTCATCATCTCCCATATCTCCGTCCAGGGAAGCCATACGAACGACTTCTTATTTACTGGGAAACGGTTCCTATATGTTATACGGACGAATACGTCTATCCTGAACTCTACCCCCTCCCAGCTCAATGTGTCTACCTTGCCTGTAGCGTCGACCGAGAGGGCACGTCCTTAATTCTCGACACTGACAAAGGTACCATAACTGAATTTTGTCACACCGGGACCTACATTACAATGCCTGAAGAAGAATATGAAGCGCTACCTGAAGAAGAGAAATGGAAAGCCCATCGCACGTCACCTATCAGACGCTTTTTAGACGTTTGGACGCAACGATACGAAAAACTAGTATGGATGCTAATACCAAACCCAATTGGTCAGCCAACCACGGGGAGGTTCTATAGCCGCGCTGATACAAGCGCCGAGCTAGATGTACTGACCCTCGAAGAGCAATCGAAGCCGTGGCATCTTAAAGATGACGTTGACCACCCGGATTTTGAGTACGAGCTTGACAGGGCCCAGTACGAATGGTACAAAAGTATAAGAAAACACGTAGCAGTATGTTTATTTATAGGCTCAACTCAATCGTTCTCAGGTTTAATGCTAACTTAATATTCGTAGGATGTGTATGATACGTATCTTCGCCACGGATGGCCTGATCACTTTGACAAAGATCGGTGTCGTAGCGAATTGCTACAATTAGAGGAGTTGCATGACGCGGAAGAAAAACAAAAACTGGACAAAATGAATCCAGATGCAGCAGATCTTTCTGATTGAGAGATCATAGCTTAGGGATTCCAACCTCGTATTGCAACGACGTGTAAGTCCTTTATATATTTTAATATAAATCTTTAGGGCATCTCATTATAGAAGCCATCCCAACCTCACTATATAATTTTCTAAACGTCATCGTAAGAAATCAAGCCACAATAACCGTATTGTTAAGCTTCTGCCTTGACATAAAGTCAATGACAGGCTAATAATTAAGTAGCCCGAGTTCCTTACAATTTCCTGTATGCAGCTATGACTGTTTATTTGTACTATGAAACGGTTTGCTTATTTATAGGTTTATCTACGGTACGCTCCTTTTCGTCATGGAAGCAACTTTTTACGGACCAGCAGAGACTTTGGGTATTTTATGCTACTTGCCTCATCTAATATTACTACGTTATTCTTCATTTACTTTATCACTATAAGTCACTGCTTCCACGTAAAGTGAATGTTTACTGAAATAGTTACGTTCATAGGGGGTTTAGAGGTAACTAGTTTAACTATGTTATTTTCTCAAGCATGCCTTCTCAATATAGTTACGTAATCGTAGAGACAAGGAAAAACGTCATATCTTTAATACTTAGGTAGAATTGAAATATTCGGAACCAGCCTAAATGTATTAAGTTTATTTGACAAACTATAGCGGGAATGTCAAGATGAGACAAAGTTCATAGAAGCCACCACGTTAGAAGGTTCTACAAGAAAAAACAAGGAATATTAGAGATTACAAATTCTGTAGCGTTATTAATCAAATTTGGTTAATCGTGTTTTCAGCTCTAACTTCTACTCATTCACGTCTCCCTTCGTTGGCTAATAGACTTCAACGGCGTGAGGCTAAAACCCCGCAGAGATGCCGGCCGCAACCACAAGTGTAGTATTTAGAAACAGGATATGGGCCAGTATATTGGCGGCATAGCCTATTACCACGACCAATGTGTTCATGTAATATTAGACTGTCACATGTACATGAAAAAGAAAATCAAGTCGCACTCCTCCGCGTTGTCCGGACTCCTTTTCGCGGCCCATTTATATGATATAGGACTCGGCCGACGAATCCGATAGTCGCAGTGTGGATTGAGAAAAAAAAAAAAAGAAAAGAAGAAGAAAGAAGAAAGAAAAATTGTATAAAGAAGAGGATGGTTAGTATTTACGATAGGGTTAATTGCATTGGTTGTTACTTGGGATGCGGAACCTAGCACTTGCATGCCGACCACGCTACGGTGTACCACGCCACACATACATAGGTATATCGCGAAATGGGGTGATAGATACGTTAGTATTATAATGTTATTGGATTAGATCGCATAGAAACGATCTGTGAAACAAGGAGGCGTTGACAGCCCTCTCAAGTCTCCGGCTTGAGGGTGGGATAGCAATATTGAATACTGATAACTACTCGTAGATGCTTATTTAGATGGTGTCGCGCAAGCGGCGGGGGGTCCGCATGGTTCGTTGGAGTGGTATGAGTGGTATGAGTGGTATGAGCAGCATGAATAATGTTAATAGTAGGACATCGTCATATGCGAGCAATGTCGAACGCGGCTGCGGTTGGGCGAGGAACAATCTTGAACTCGCGCAGAATTGCTACATACGTCAGAATCAGGCACGCGTCGGGCGCCGTCCGGATCTCTGGATGAGGTTGCAATACTGTAATACTGCAATGCTGCAATGCTGCGCTTGTTGGACGTGCAGCATAAAAAGGGGGACGAGGTACAATCATGATGGCTATTCTGGGTCATCCGTAAGTGGCGGTCAACGAGAAGATAGTAGGCAAAATATGTATTATCTATGGTCTCGCCTCCGATGGCTACTAGTTTGCCTCGACTTCATTAGTTAGGTGGTTATACCAAGTAAGACTTTAACTTTTTAGTGGTCTTTGAAGAGGACATGAAGAGGACATGAATCGGGAGAGGTGGAGTGGAGCAAATAATGATTTTAAATCTGCCTACATTGCACATATTGATGTACCTGATATATGTACCTGATATATGTACCTGATATATGCACCTGATATATGCACCTGGCTAACATCACTCATTGCGCACAACAGAAAGGTGTCAATCTACGATAGGAACGATAGGAACGATAGTTGAATGGAGATAAGGGGAATTCTTAAACGTGGACGAGATAAGTTGCCGGTGGTAACCGGTGCGGGTAAAGTGGATGAAAGCCGACCTACAAGGGAACCATCTTTGAATTTAGGTAGCTACTACCTTAGGTACCTAGGTAGGTAGCTACTGTGCCTACGGATGTATCGTGCCTTGCATCCTGCAGGACAATTTTATTTTAGAGGCAGCTCGTACAGGACCGTCGTATTATAATCGCCTTTTTTAAAAAGTAGACTTTAAGATACAGCTGTAAGACATGTAACTAACGAACTCTGTCTGATAGTAATATCATCATTGATGTATTTACATATGTAATTAGGTAGGTATTATAGGTACGGCTTACACGAGGTACTTACGAAATAGATGATTGGTACCTTAGTAGCTTAGGTACTTTATATACATATGTTGCCCCCTTGTGGCTATAATGAGCGATCCGAACTGCTGGGGCGTTACACACATAGAAGTAATAAGTATATTCCTAATAGGTTAAATGATTAACGAACTAATTTAGATGCACCTAGCTCGACTTCCCCTCAAAGGATAATCCAATCACATGCTAATCAAAGAAGAGGGAATCCCATCAGGATGTGAACTCGTCCGGTAACGGGTATATTATTTTCTGCACCTTCGCTCGTTTCGTCAGGTACTTAGTGTTGTCGCCTCTAACGCCATTGAGATATTAGTGCGCCAGTGCGCCAGTGAATAAGGTCCTTTGTAGGCTGCGTTTCATCTCAGCCCTGTACCTTGGCAGGGTCCTGGGATCGATGCTTTCGTTCGTCAGGTACAGGTAGATGTATACCCTAGGTACTTGGGTACTTGAGTAGTTTTTACAGTATTGTACCTGGGGATGTGGGCTGACAGCTTACGCACACGCACACGGTGTCCGGCGATAACGGGCCTGGACTTACACAGACGTGGTAGTCATCTGATATACAGCCCTGCTTCTGAGTTAATTATGCTCCTGCAAATGCCCCAACCGGGTAATCGAACCAGGCAGAATGAGGGAAGTAATTAGCAACATCAGAGATAATTAAAACCAGCTAATATACCCTGTAGCCCGTAGTTTGTACATACCTACCTTGGGTATTGTACATAGGTACACAGGTAGTGAGTCGAGATCAACAGTATGACGCCACCTGCATCCATCACCGACTAGCCCGGCTCCCTGTAGGGCATATCGATAAACGATTGTCGATAGCGTCAGATCATAGCGGGGGAGGGGTGAAGATTGAAAGTGAGGGGGTCTGGCCTGTTCTAGCTAAGGACCCGGTGATTTACACAGGATAGGATATGTGAAAATCATCGGATGTTTTACTCCCCTTGGGCACTGATTGATTGCTTTTCGTATTTTGTACCGCGGTTTAACAGCTGGACTTTGCATAAGCGTTAAAGAGGTGGTATAGTTACACTAATAAACTCATCTACTGTAGAAAGTTTGGCGATATCACGTCTATTATGTATGTAGGAGTCAGATACCAAACTTAATGGAGCTTTCGTCCGTACCGACAGTCCAGCTTCGGTGAATATGAACAGCCGCTATCCGTGGAGCTGGATCGTAGTTTAGGAGTCTTACATTTGGTCTTACATTTGGGTGTCACAATAGTAGGGCAGGGCGGAACTTGTGTGCTATGACTAATGCAGATAATAATGCTGCATACGTGGTAGCCGGGCGGTGGATCATCAGGTACAAGAACCACGATAATGGATATAGGAGACATCGTATACATGTTACACAAACATGCCTACCTAAGGTACACATACTATATGTCCTTTGTATTTTGTAGGGCAGGGAAGGGCAGGGGAGTAAAGGGTTTAATAACATGTTCGCGTATCTTGGGACGGAAGAAGCTACGGGCTTGAGGGTTGGGCCAAGTTATAACCTGTGCATGAGGTGAGCCTGTACGGCTGTATCATGTACATACTTAGGTATATATGTAGGCAAGGGACGAAGGGAAGAAGGGGGAAAAAAAGGCTCCAGGCGAAGCGAGAAGCGAGAAGCGAGTGGAGAAAGACTGACGGTGGTGTACAGGTAGGTATTTGCTGTACAAAGTACTGAGATTTACACAGTAGCAAGGAGTAGCAAGGAGTAGCAAGGAGTAGCAAGGAGTAGCAAGGAGTAGCAAGGAGTGGCAGTCAGCTGGACGCTTATCCCCCCGAGAATTCCATACCGTCAATCCGGTTGCGATAAAATGGTAGGAATGCGGCAAAGCCAGTAAGATCTCCGTGGACCCGAGGGAATCTTTACTCGATATCCCGATGACACGATACCCCTTGGCAGGATGTGGTCCTTTTTTTAGGTGCCTACATAAGCACATCACAGGGCAGTCAGGTAGACTTAAGAACATTGACCGAGTCAACGCGCCTGCGTCCATCATAATGGACATTTCCCGGCAATAAAAACTGGAGGGGAGTTGTTGAATATAGATACTGGATAGGCAGGCGTTGCGTCAGAGAACCAAGATAACGCAGATCATAACCTAGCAAGGTTTAGCTCACAGCAGCTTTCTCCTCAGGGTTGCAGAGACCCGGTTGTTAAACAAAGACATCGTTTGAAAGAAAGCTCATAATATCAAAATGCATCTTCCCTTTATTGTATGGGTTGAGCTTATGAATGGCTCGTCCGCCTTACCGATAAATTTTTGAGAAGCGCACTTATGGGGCATATGATGTGAAAGATCCAGAAATAAAGGGGGGGACGCGAGGACAGACGGAACTTTCTCTTCCTACGTAGACTCGAGCGAATACTTACGGTACTCGCGTGGTTTCAAACAAGCTGACTTTCTTGCTAAGATCGTAGGAAGAAAAAAAATGGACCAGGTTTGGAAGTTTTGGCTAGGTTAGTCTTGTAAGAGTCCAAGAGGACTTGTCTGACCGATTTATGTAAAAGTTGCCCTAAGCCAGTGCCAAACCGTTATGGAGTTGGGACCGAACAGGAACCGGTTGTCTTCAGATGTGCTTGGTGATGTCTAGGAAAAAGGGTCGACAGGATTCAACCTATAAGTAAGCGGTCAGACCAGTTGTGCAACAGATGACCACGCCCGCCACGACGGTGACGAA